TTTAGAGACAGTAGCAATAGGCAGAAGACAGGAGGAGCAGCTGGAGGTGGCAGAGTTAAAGATGCTAAGATTGTCTTTAGGAGTGACAAGAATGGACAGGATCAGGAATGAGGTCATTAGAGGGACAACACAGACAGGAAGGTTTGGAGAAAAAGCTAGAGAAGCCAGATTGAGATGGTTTGGACATGTGCAGAGGAGGGACAGTGGATACATTGGTAGAAGAATGTTAGAGATGGAGCTAGCAGGTAGGAGACAAAGAGGAGATATATGGATGCAGTGAGGGAGGACATGCAGATAGTTGGAGTCAGAGTAGAAGATGCAGAGAACAGGGAGAGATGGAAATCAAAGATTCGCTGTAGAAACCCCTGAAAAAAGGGACAAAGCCGAAAGGAAAAGAAGAGTGTATAAAGAGTGCCGTACAAGATTATGATGGATATCTCTTTGCTGTTCTCACGCATGCCTCTTTTGAGAGTGAGATTTAAGGCAGCACTTTATGATTGGCTGTATAAATTTATTCTTTTACTACTAAAGCAGTAGTTATGTTTTTTTCTTCTTTTTTTTTTCTGACTGACAAGAAATCACATTATTGACCCAGAAAACTGTAGATAGATAGATAGATAGATAGATTGATTGATTGATAGATTGATTGATTGATTGATAGATTGATTGATTGATTGATAGATTGATTGATTGATAGATAGATAGATAGATGGATGGATGGATAGATAGATAGATAGATGGATGGATGGATAGATAGATGGATGGATGATAGATGGATGGATAGATGGATAGATGGATGGATAGATGGATGGATGGATAGATGGATAGATAAATAATCACCCTATATAAATGCATGAATACGGCGATATTTTAGATGGTAATGTAAAGCAAACTTTAATTCATCAGAGAAAAATACTTTGATTTTTGGGTGCTGGTAAAGAATTGTAACAAGAAAGGGCAAGGTGGAGGTTAATCACGTGAAAGACTTTTTTTTTCCTTTTTTTTTTTTATAATCGCTTGAACTGCCGAGCACGAGTAAGTGCAGAGTAGTATTACCTCTAAACACAGCTAGATAAGCAGTTAATCACGTGAAAGACTTTTTTTTTTTTTTTTTTTTTTATAATCGCTTGAACTGCCGAGCACGAGTAAGTGCAGAGTAGTATTACCTCTAAACACAGCTAGATAAGCACAGCTTTATGACGGTGTCTCATTGACTGATGGTGTTTTGCAGTGGGCTGGGGCTCCTGGTATGATCACGTGAAAGGTTACTGGGTCGAGAGAGAGAAGAGGAACATTCTTTATCTCTTCTATGAGGACATGAAAGAGGTGAGGACAACAGTTGATTGAACTACATTACAGTGAGGCACTACTTCTCAAATAGTGGGGTGGGCCCGTCTGGGGGGGGCCTGACAGAATAGTTTCTATTGTCAAAAAGGTATTATAGCACAGTATCTTTCTAGGTCCAGTAGTTAATGATCCACTGACCTGATGATGTATTCAAAGTTTAAAACTGAGAAATTAGCTAATTTCTCCCGAGTACAAAGACATTCAGATGAAGAATTAAGTTAGCTAAAAACTCTGAATTGATCAAAAGTATTAAAAGAATATTTGTTTTTGTGACAACAGCCTGACTCTAAGTGTCCATTTGAAAGCTTTTTTTTTGGTGCCAGCAGTGAACCCCGCCCCTCATTTTATCATTATCTGAAACCTTCACGAGTGTAAAACTTGCGAGTCCAAAATGATTCAAAATCACTTACAAACACTGGTCAATTGGATCTATAAATAATCTTAGGTCTCCCATCGATACCTTCGAATACCAGTTGTTCGTACATCACAAGCCTTCTAAACAAGTCTACAGACTACAACCAGCGGTTCCCAAATTTTCATTGGCTGTGCACCCCCTTCTAAATACCAACAATTTCCTGCACATTAAAAAAAAAAAAAAAAAAAACGCAACTAACTTTCTTATTAAGGCACCATGTTTAATCGTGCCCCAAAGAAGAAAACACACATTTAACACAGGCATATGTAGCTCGCATTTATTTATTTATTTATTTAATTTGATCTCATGCGCCCCCTAGTGTCAACTCGGAAACCCACCGTGAAAAATCCCTGGTCTACACCAAAGAACCCAATGATATCTCTAACCTCAAGCAAGCCATTGGATGTTGACAGTATCAATACGAACTATTGACGATTTTTTTCAAAGTTGAAGCCTCTCGCTTTTACAGTGATCTATTTTTTTTTTTTCATGGTTAAACAGTATTTTAGGTGTATTCCCCTTTTTTAGAAGCTCATTCTCTCACTTACTGAAACTTACTAGAACTGAACGATGATTCCACAGTTCCACAGCCCGCAGCAGATTTGGGGTTTTTGCCCCCTGCTGCTTCACGTAACCTCAGGCACACAGGCCTCATGTGACTGTGCTGCTGCTGCTGTTGTCAATTGGGCTCTTGTTTTGACTGTGATACCACATGTTAAACATCTGTCTGACCCACTGGGCCACTGTGCTGTGATGAAGAATGTTTTTTAAGTCACAAGCTTCACCCGTATCTCCGTCTTCACCCTAGAATCCGGCACGTGTAGTGAGGACAATCATGCAGTACTTGGACTTGTCTGTGTCGGATGAGGTCATCGACAGAATTGTGGAGCTCACATCTTTTAAGAACATGAAGGACAACCCGATGGCCAACTACTCGTGTGTGCCACCAGAAGTCTTCGACATGTCCATCTCTCCCTTCATGAGAAAAGGTGCCTCACTCTTCTACTCCCATGATTCTTAGCTGCTCTCAAGGGTGTGCCAGTTCTCTCTACTTGATAATACAGCACAGTGGCGCCCCCCCATACTGAATTCTTCATTTTTGGTTTTAATGTACCACACGAGCAATTGGATAAAAAAAAGAATCTAAAATATATATAAATATATAATACATATAATCTAAAATCTTAGTAAATATATAAATATATATAATACATATATACGAAATATACACACATATATAAAGATATATATAAAATAATATAAAAATGCATACATATATTTATGTATATTTCATATATATGTATTGTAATTTTATAATATATATATATATTGTTTATCCAATTGCTCGTGTGGTACATTTTTTACATTAGTGAAATATATATATATATATATATATATTCAATCACAATCAATTTCCTTGTTCTCTTCCACAACATCCAACTCCATCTCCAACGTAATTTTTTTCGATATATTCGACATTTCCACCTCCTACCTCTCTGACTTTATCTCCACTGACACTGCTCCGCCTTAACTGTGTCCGCCTTAACTGTCCTGTCTCTGATCTGCTCATCAAGTCTCAGTGTCTCAGTGTGCAACCCTGACAAGGATTGAAGTGGAAGAAAATCAAATCATTTTTCAGACCTGATACTTGTACTCATTTCGTCCTAAGCATATTTTTCAGGAGTTGTGCTCTTATTTTGTATGTAGCCTCTATAAAAAAAAAAATCACTAACATATTTTCTTCTTTGTAGGTGAAGTAGGAGATTGGAAAAACTATTTTACGCCCGAGCAATTAAAGATGTTTGACGAGGACTACGAGAAGCAAATGAAGGACGTTCACATCCCTTTCAGGAGCCTCATTTAACCAGCGATGTCGCATTAAGCTCTCAAACTCAGGACAGGTCCGAGTGCAGCGAAATAAACAATGTGTACACGTGCTGAGTATTGTAATCACCGAAGATCGCGAAGAGGACGGCCGGTCAGTGTTTGTGTAGAGAAGTCAATTAAATGCATTCCAAAAAGCAGAAAGTACACGAGTTCATAATCATTACTTTATTGCAGCTTATTGTGTAAACAATGTATAAGACCAAAAGTGTTGAAACTGAGTGGACATGCCCATATGATGTCATGAGACCCCCAGAAGTCCATTGACTGCGTTAAGCCTACAGAGAGCGCTGACAGGTGTTCTGAAGTAAGAAGTGTGCAACCGAAGCTGCACCACACACAACGAGCAACAAAGACTAGAAGAACAGAAATGAGCTGGAAAATCAATGATAAGAAAATGGACACAAAAACACAACAGCTGAAAATATCCAACTTTAACAAAAAAAAAAAAGAAAAAAAAAGTCACCTTTAATACATATGTTATTTCTTAGAATAAAATCTAAAATATCTTTATACTTTCATCAGTACGGATACTTCCCTTCTTCAATTAACTCTCCTTATATATATATATATAGTGGCTACTTTAATATAGATGATTTTTGACAAGTTTTATAGTTTTTTTTAAATGTTTTCCTGTGTTTCTTCTCTCTTTTATTGGTTGGCTCACAACGGCTCCCCTCTTGGGCTGTGATCTTCCTCTCTCTCTCTCTCTCTCCTCGACCTTTACGGACTTCTTCTACATCTCTATTTTATTTCTACGCCTCCTGAATAGAGAAGAGGGGGAAAAAAAAAACAATTAGGCATATGTGAGCTCATCAATGCAATCAGTGTGTTACATTTAAAACAACGTGACAAAAAGAGCTGAAATGCACAAGGCCCAGTGGATGGAAAGGGTTGAAGATGAAATAGTCGGCTTGAATTGTGGGGAAAAAAAAAAAAAAAAATCTAAAATGTTTTGGTGCCATTATTTTTCAATGAAAATAAACCTGGCAGAATAAACCAATAATAATAATAGTAATAATAATAATGATGATAATGCTATTTATTATTATTATTATTATTATTATTATTGGCAGTTATCATTGTTAGATTATAATTAATAATAATCATCCAATAGCAACAGTTGAAACAGACTATGGCCTTAACACCATGGTAATGATGCTAGCAACTGTTAGCATCCAAAGAAAAGCAGCATAGCTCTTTAAATTTGGTCAAAACCCCAAGGGGTGGTATAAGACATAGGAAATTATTGCTAAATAAAAAAAAAATGAAAATAACACTTAACATTTCATCACTCATTTTATACTGTGCGTATGTATGTATTTTGTCAAAATAAACAATACCTGACAATAATTATAATCAGTTTTAGACACACTAGTCCTATGGCTTTTTGGTATATATTGTTGTTTTTCAATCTTTTTCCAGAGATGTTTCTCGTGGCTGATTGACTGCACATGCACCACACGCGTACCGTAACCACAAACATGAACAACACAATAGCTACAACAGCACAGTGTGCTACATCGACATTAAAGTCTGCACCGAATGCCTAAATGTGTACAATAAGAGCAGAACAAAAATAGGCCTTGAACAAGTACAGGACAGGAACTATTTAGCAGAGAGGCTGCAGCGACACTTCAGGTGCTGAGGCAGACAAAGAGTTAAACGACAAACAGGGAGTTTAAAAGGAAGGGAAGAGGTGACAGACAACTGACTGACGGCAGCTGCACTCCAGGAGTATCTTAGAAACTTCTCGGTATCTTTTTTTTTTTTTTTTTTTTTTTTTTTTTTTTTAATTGTGTTAAATAAATCACGGTTTAGTAGTAGTTTAGTAGTATAGACACCCCAGAGCGCTACAGGAGAACGCATGGACATCGCTGGAGACCAGAAATCAACATCACACACACAGAGAGACTACAGCTACACAGTGAATACCTTGATTTAGTTACAGGCTATTTGGTGGTGGGCTGACCCAATTTACTCTGGAAGGAAGAAGGGGTTAAGTGAATTAGAAATGAATGAACAGAACAGCAGGCAGGGTGAACAGGCGCGAATAGACCTGTTCCCGATCGAGGAATGACGGAGTTAAGGTGAAGTGAAGGCGAAATGAAGGGTTTGTTACGTTGTGATGAATTAAAAAAAAGGTAGAAATAAGAAGGTGTTAAGCATCGAAGGAATGTGCGGAAGACTCATCATAATTCAAGCATGTCGATCAGTCATCGAGCTTCTGACGCGTCAGTGAATGATGCACGACGACGCGAAGCAAACTTACTCTCAACGTAGTTGCGGGCCACAAACTTCAGCACCTCATCAATGAGAATGACAGGGAAGGAAAGTTTCAGGACCACCATCCATTGTTCTGTGTTCAAGTGGGTCAACTTGAAGATCATCTAGAGGACCAAAGAGTCGGAGTCAGTTCTATGGCAAATCTACAGACACGGCAGCTGGACCGTAGACGGACGCAGACACTAACAATGGCGTACACCCAGAACGAAGTACGTGTTAGGTCGTCAACAAAAAAAAAAATGGAAACATTTTGAAGACTTACGGGCAGGGGGTCAACATAGATGATCAAGAAGTGCAGAGACATGGAAAGGGTCATGGCAGAAAGCAGCCAGAAGTTGCTCCATGGGGGCATACGGATCAGAGACTGGTTCTCTGACAAGCTTTAAAGAGAAGCACAAAGGATAAGGTAAAAAAAAAACAACATTCGATCGCTAAAAAACAAAAATCTCCCCCATCTTTATAACGGCCTCCTCCAGCTCCATCCCTTTTTATTTTAAAAATCACCAACTTCATTTCCTAGTATCCAACTATCGCCCAAAAACTTAGACAAGCCTGATGACAATGACCCCCGATACAAGTGGTGGAACAACTATTCGTATTACCTGTTGAGGGCATTGCACATCTCAATGGTGACCAGCACAGACAAGGCCATGGTCATGGGAGCGGAAGCCTCAAAGATCTCACATTCCAGGCCAGCAAAGTCCTCGTTCTCATCATGGCACTGCATGAAGTGGGACTGCACAGAGAAGAGGAGACGTTACAAGGCATCTGTGACTTTTAAATGACAAAAAAATAAAATGAAGAATATTTACGCACCAGCTGGTAATATGTGACCTGAGGACCGGTGACATCGTACATGAACCACCAAGCAGCGCCAGCAACAGTGGCGGCACCAACGTATCCTGTTTTTTTAAAAAAAAAAAGATTAATGTTCTTGGCAGAAGATGTATACACTGCACATTTTTTATTCTTTTAGTGAATAAAATAAAGGTATATGTTTTTTTATATGTTTTTCGTTCTTGGCAGAAAATGTATACACTGGACATTTTACTCTATCAAACGTTTTATTCTTTTAGTGAATAAAACAAAGGTATATGTTTTTTTATATGTTTTTATATATTCATACTTATGTTTCTACGGCAGCTTAGGGAGGACAAGACCAAATTCAAAAATATATGAATAAATGTCTTTAGCAATTGTGATTTAAGCTAACTGTTGATAGAATCTGAAAAAAAACAAAAAAAACCAAATTGATAAAAACAGAGTTTTTTATCAATGTTTTTGTTATAACCACATTCCACATATTGCCCTTTTTTTTCTGATAATCACGTGTCTGAACAACACGCACTCACAGGGCACGGTGTTTGGATTTTTGCCTCTTCTCAGCAACAGCATGAATTCGTGTGCAGATCGGTGTTACATCAGCCTGAAAGCACTTACCACCAATAGCCATGTATCTGAAGAACAGCCAGCCAGAGATCAGAGGCTCCTTGGGGGAACGTGGGGGCTTGCCCATGATGTCAAGGTCAGGGGGGTTGAAGCCCAGAGCAGTAGCAGGCAGACCGTCAGTCACCAGGTTGACCCACAGCAGCTGGACGGGGATCAGAGCCTCGGGCAGACCCAGGGCAGCAGTCAGGAAGATACTAAAGGATTGGAGAAGAAGAAGAAAGAAAGAAAAATGGTAAAAGGAGTAAGAGATAGCCAGAAAGAAAACAGAAAGGTGGCGTTGACATCCGGGCCACTCACCAGACGACCTCACCGACGTTGGAGGAGATGAGGTAGCGGATGAACTGCTTCATGTTGTTGTAGATAGCTCTGCCCTCCTCAACGGCAGCCACAATGGAAGAGAAGTTGTCGTCAGCCAGGACCATCTCAGAGGCAGACTTGGCAACGGCAGTGCCAGAGCCCATGGCGATGCCGATCTCGGCCTTCTTCAGGGCAGGGGCATCGTTCACACCATCACCAGTCTGGAAAGAACAGGGAGTGGAAGGTGAGCTGTACGGTCAATACCAGCAGGTCGGGTCCGGTTTTCTTTTCAAACAAACCCTCACCATAGCAGTAATGTCATCGAAACCCTGCAGGTACTCCACAATCTTGGACTTGTGAGCTGGCTCCACACGGGCAAAGCAGCAAGCCCGGCGCACGGCCTCGGCCTGTTCGTGAAGGGGCAGGTCGTCGAACTCACGTCCAGTGTAGGCTTTTCCGGACACATCCTCATCCTCAGTGAAGATGCCAATACGACGGCAGATAGCAATGGCAGTTCCCTTGTTGTCGCCTAAATGGGTGAAAAATAGTTTTTGTCAATGTTGATTTTTGGTTGTTTTTTTTTTTTTTTTTTTTTCTTGGCCTTCAAAAGAAATTGTGATGCCCACCGGTGATCATGATGACGCGGATTCCGGCTTCTCTGCACAGCTCAATGGAGCCAGTGACCTCCTTACGAGGGGGATCCAGCATACCCACGCAGCCAACGAAGGTCAGGTCAGTCTGAGGAACGGCAAATCACACACCCACACACACACACATGAAGTCAAAGTCGCAGCCAAACCTCCTCTGAAACGTCAACGTCAACACCAACACGTTGCGTTCACGTCACCTCATAATCACCGAACTTGGTTGAGTCTTCAAGGTTCATCTCGGCGGGCTTCAGCGGGGAGTCACGGGTGGCCAGGGCCAGACAACGCAGGGTGTCGCGGCCGGTACCCCAGTCCCTGATCACAGCCATGATTTTCTCCTTGATGGCGTTGGTCAGTGGGATGCGGGTGGTGCCCACACGCACATATGCGCACCTGTCAATCACACCCTCGGGGGCACCCTGTAAAGAGCAAGCGATATGTTGAATAACGGCCCAGTCAGAGAGCACGCACGTGTGACCTGACAAACGATCAGGACCGACCTTGACAAACATCTTGGCGCCACCGTCTCCCTTAGAGGGTGTGCAGTACACGGACATGGACTTCCTGTCACGAGAGAACTCCAGAGTGAAGTTCTTCCTCATGAGCTGTTTGATGACCTGTCGGGAGAGAGAGAGAAAAGGACACTGTCAGAGAGGTGGTCGCCTCGTCACAAAGTCGCATTTACTACTTGGAGCATGTTTCTTTAAGTGCCGCGGTGCAGTGTTGATCGAATCTATATTTGTGAATGAAATCAAAGGAAGTGATTATTGGTCCAGACTTACAGCACAGCAGGTATTGGCTCTCTCAATTCTGGACAGGTTCTTCACGTTGGTGTTGAACACATTCATCTTCTCCACCAGGCAGCACAGAGCGGTCTCAGTGGCCTCACCGACCTTCTCATAGATCTTCTTGGACTGGAGAGGGGAAAGAGAGAGAGAGAGGACGGACCGCGTCAGTTAACCTCCATCCATCCATCCATTTTCATCCGCTTATCCGTTACCGGGTCACGGGGGCAGCAGTCGCCACCCAAATCACACTGCACCGTACCAACCCCCCAAACCTTCCTGCAGGTGGTGAGTCCACTGGAAGGTATTAACTGCCCTAACTGGGATTCGAACTTGCCCAGGAGGTGAACCCTGGGGTTCCACACCAATGACAGAGACATTGCCTCTGGGCCAAAGCGCCACTCAGTTAACCTGCAGTGACTCAAAAAACAGTTTTTAAGGAAAACACACTTGGTCAATTTACCTCGTTGTAGTCCAGAGAGGAGTCATTGCACAGGGCGCAGATGGTGGCCAGCTCAACGAGTCCGTCGTAGGCACTGCAGTTGGTCTTGGCTCCTCCCTGGGAGCTGAATGACAGAGAGAGGGGGAAATTGAAAAAATTAGAGAAGAAAGAAAGCGGATCGTGTGTTTTGCACATTCAAACGACGCGGCTCTGGCTCAAGCACAGAGACACTTTTAAGACGATCGGATTAACTTACACCTCGCCCTCGGGGGTGTACTTGGATCCGGAGATGTCAAAAGCATCAAGCTCAACGTGGTCGCCATCAACGTCCTTGACAACAAACATCTGTGAAAAGAGAACGAAAGCAGTTTTAGGAAGTCGAGGCTTCCAGACGAAGGTTGTAAACAAGTGGCTCCTCGTGAAAAAAAAAAAAACAAAAAACAAAAAACAAACACCCACCTTGGTCACACACATCTGGTTGGTGGTGAGGGTACCGGTTTTGTCAGAGCAGATGACGGAGGTGCAGCCCAGGGTCTCCACAGAGGGCAGGCTTCTGACAATGGCGTTCTTCTTGGCCATACGACGAGTACCCAGGGCCAGGCAGGTGGTGATGACAGCGGGCAGACCTGAGGAACATCAGAGAGAGAGGAACCGTGAGCGTGACGTAACGCAGTCGGAAACCACTTTGTGTGTTTACACATTTTGCGCCGCTCACCCTCGGGGATGGCGGCCACGGCCAGAGCGACGGCGATCTTGAAGTAGTAGACGGCACCGCGAATCCATGAGCCACCGTGGACGGGGTCATTGAAGTGGCCGATGTTGATGGCCCAGACGGCAACACAGATCAGGGAGATGACCTTGGACAGCTGCTCGCCAAACTCGTCGAGCTTGGCCTGCAGAGGAGTCTTCTCTTGTTCGGTAGCGGCCATCTGGTCACGGATCTTGCCAATCTCGGTAGCGACTCCGGTGGCCACAGCAACACCGATGGCCTTACCTGCAGCGATGTTGGTGCCCTGGTGGAGAACGGTGGGGGGAAGGAGTTGAATTCTCACTGAAAGAACAACTGTTTGTCTACTCCACACAACGCTATACACAATCAAATCCTCTAACATTCCCATCTCCATAGGCCAGAAAGGGACTCACAGAGAACAGCATGTTCTTCTTGTCCTGGTTCACAGCTCTGAGGTCGGGGACGGCCTCATTGTGCTTGATCACACTCACGGACTCACCTGAAACAAAGACAACGCACAATCATCTCAAAGCTGCGGCTTAAGATGGTTGAGACTTAGGGACAGACAGTGTGAGAAGACGCAAGTTTGACCCCCTACCAGTAAGGATGGACTGGTCAACACGCAGGGTGGTGGACTTGATGGAAACAATCCTGATGTCAGCGGGGACTTTGTCACCAACTGTGGGAATCAAGAGGGAAAGGAAAACACCACGTAAATGAACAGTTAAAAAAAAAAGTTTTTTAAAAAATTGAGATATCAACATTTTTTTTTTTCTGTCTGTCAAATGGAAACATCATGCCTTTATTGTTACAAATGTTCAAAAGCGATGTTTTGAAATTGTGTAGTAAACTAAGGAGAATTCAAAAACAATAATAATTCAAATTAAAATGCTAATATTGAACAAATAAGACAAGTGTTCACATGCATTATTTTATGACCTTCATTGTAGGCGTTAAGTTAAAAGTGACACGTATGAGCCATAGGTGGCAGTGCAGGGGGTGAGGGCGTGCGAGGGGGGTCGGGGGGGGCTAGGAGGGTGAAGGGGAGAGCCGTTGAGCAACAGATGTACTCTGTCAAATGAATGCGGTGGCAGGGAGGCAAGAAGCGGTACGGCAGGTGCTGGTGGAGGGTATTTATATTTGGGACCGTGTTTTCCTTCAGTCAGCATGTTTCACAGCAGTGCTACCCCGGGCCCGCGTTACTCATGTTGCCTTAAAAAGACACGAGGGCTGTGCCGTCAGCCCTTTTTCATGCCCATATGTCTTGAACCTAATGTCATTTTTTTGTTTTTTTTTTTGTTTTCAGAAAACAATCAAACAACAAATCCCCTCAATCTGAACAGGTTGTCCCCTTACCGGACACCTCCACAATGTCTCCAGGGACGATTTCTCTGGCCTTGATCATCTGAACACGCTTTCTGTCAGAACGGTAAACCTTGCCCATCTCAGGCTCGTACTCCTTAAGAGCCTCGATGGCACTTTCAGCATTGCGCTCCTGAGGGTGACACACGGAAGAGGAGACAGGACAGTTGAGACTTCGTACAAATGCGCGTATTTGAATGTAGCCTTTCGGCCAACGCATATCTTACTAGGTCTAGGACATTTATTTTGATCAAAATGTTCATGAAGAAAATGCTGG